TTTCACCATCTCAAAGTCATTTTCCAAGCAAAACTCTCAATACTTGATAAAATTTGATCTTTATTAATTAGGACTCTCAAATTCAAAACTTTTTAGACTTCTTTTATTCAACCAAACACTAAATCACATGGAATTTGGGTCACACCGCAACATTCCTCAATCTTAATATAATTAATGAAGGTACACTTTAGAGTAATGAATATTTGGTACGTGTTAAAAAGTTTGAATGTGGGTCGATGAGGCTATGATCAATGTTTTGATTTGAATGTCCATATTTGGCTTTTCAACCTTACACCAAGTTGAGCAACAAATTTGGTGTGTATACATTAGATGTTATATTGAACGTACAATGTATAACGACAAATAGCATAGGTCCCATAATGAAAGATGCGTGAATAAGTGCGAAATCAAGTTTTTCATGTAGGGGGCGGGGGGGAATTGGAGGGACAAAATATGTGAAAACTATTGAAAACATATTTACATAAATTCAGTTTAAATCGAGAAACGATTAAAGTTATTGTGAGCGATCATCATCCCATGTGGCTCTGCCAATGTTCAATACAATACATATAAGACGTGTAATTACTTTGAATCAATATAATGAAAAAGTCTAACATGTGAAACTCTCACGTTCAGTTTTTTATTGCATTATAGATGGATGGCGCCCATCAAAGTCTAAAGGTACTACAAACTTGAAAGGTCAATGAAGAATTGGTTGACAACAAAAATTGTGGACCATCTTGTTAGAACACCTATAAGTTGAAACCCCTACTCTACAACATTTATAATTCAACCTTCAAGTAAAATTCCTTCACCGATGTTTTCCTTCTGGAAGCAATTTTCCTGCCCAATTCCTATCACCACCGAAAACCTACTATAAGATTACTATTAATTTACTCACAAATCATGCTCTTGCTCACATTATATTCACACATTCTTAGAATCAATCATATACACTCGCCGTCACCATGGTTGTGACCATGGGTCCAATATTCTATGACGGTAACCTGCCATGACAGTGGTTCTACACTGACTTGTGAAGTTGGACGATGAAAAGGTGGACCCACCAACTTCGATCATGGATCCGTTGATGTCATGGGCTTGGGAGGCACTGATCTGTGGGTGGCATGAGTTTTCAGCTCCACCGTCTCCAGATTGAAGTGAATATCAACAAGTTCTGTGTCCAGTGCGAGAAGTCCGTCGAGGATTCTCGAAAACAAAACCTGGTAAAAAATTTTGCCATTTTTCCATCCCAATCGTCTTCTCCACCTCCGAATCCGATGACGATTAAGTTAACGTGAGTTATGGATATGAATGATGAGGACGAGGAAGAAGGGAAAAATGAATCTTAGAGGAAAATAAGGAGAGGGGCATTGAGGGAGTTGGTGGATGATTTTGAAAGGGTGGTACTTGAGAATGGGATGGGAAGGAAAATAAGAAATCCGACGAATAATAGTGGTGGAGTTAGAGGCGATAGGATGGGGTCGAGGACGAGGAGTAAACGAAAACAGATCAAGAAAGTTGTAAAGGCTAAGATGGGGAAAAAGAAAATGTTCAAGGGTGGAAAAATTGTTGGTGCTGCAGTGGTGGCTTCGATTGTTGGTAGGGCTGGGCAAAATGTCCGAACCGAACTGAACCGAACCGAACCGAACCGAGCGGGTTTTCTTAACTTAAAAACCCGAAGAACCGAGAAACGAAAAATTTTGGTTCGTTATCGATTCTAGACCTAGAACCGAATAAGAACCGAATTTTTTTGAA